CAGCAAGCAATGCTCGATCATGTAGGGGATGGCTTAACATATCGATGTGGAAACACAACCTAATTAACACCTCACCCCATATTTTAATCTCACCGGAAGAGGGATTTCATGTTCCACAATTGCTGCGCAAATGGCTTATTATATATGATGCTATCCAGCTATCCAACATGAAGCAAGATTCGAACGCGAGGCAAATAGGATAAAATTGAAGTACTTAAACCAGTGAACGGGCCAGATTTCCATCTGCATGTGTACAATCCTACATCATACTTGAATATCACTACTCATCATATTACACGACTTAACACAGGAAATAGACTGACATCACAGATGGTCAAAGACCGCTTACCTCTTCATATGCGTAAGACGTTTTGAAACGCCCAACTTTTGAATGGGTAGTCAGTATCTAGGCAGAATTGTCTCAACTACAGGTGGTACTACACGGTACTACACAAGTAAGACAGAAATAAGTGTGTGGGAACCTTCAGCAGGCAGGCAACACGTAGAACAAGATTCCGATTTCCAACACTAATGTCAGACTAACTACCTTCATCATATGGTTCAAAGACTTCAGTAAGTCAACAAAACCATTTCCAACAGGCTACTGAAAACGTTAATCAGCAGCAGCTGCATTCCCTGACTCCATATTGAAGATCAAATGGAAACAAGAAACTCTGGGAACAAACCAACAACCAACCAAGAATCTACTCAGTAATAAAAAAATTTGACGGAGAAAATGAAGATAGATTAGAGGCGCACACACACTGAGGAGACAGACAATCGAATAACATCGCACGCCAGGGAACTCAGGTGGAACCCGATTGGGATACGTGTTCAACATCCAAAGTTGACGAGGAGCCAACTAAGAAGGACTGCAGGAGACTGGATGAAATGGAGATGTGCCTCAGGATGGTTGGGGGTGAGTGCCTTGCGCTGCGGGTAGGCCACCCTTCCGTACACCTCTTGAAATGCTCCCATATGATCGGGCGTCTTACATAGGAAGTCCTACTAACTGCCTTCACGTGGCGGAGGCGTTTTTCACCGAAGTGAGAGGGCAAAAGCGGATGCCCGGCGCTCTTCACCGGGTTGACTGTCCATTGGATGACAGTCTAGGGGAGATGGCTAAACCCTGATTCCAAACCTCCAACGACTGGCGTATGAAGCTCACTGGAGCTCACCGACAGACGTATGGACAAAGGGCTTATTGGATGCCCTGTATGTCTGGCCCCATTCAAAAAGGCGTATGAACCGGACTCCGGTCACCGGCTGACAATGGATAGTGGACTCCCTACTCCACTCCTACTGCCTTGTAGGTCACACTTGGTTGTGTAAAGTCTAGAGTTGCACTCTCAAACAAAAGGCCGAGCGATTCTGGGGACATCACTCGTACCTAATTCCCATGAAACTTCATGAACTCTCTACAACATCAACCAAATCCCAGGACTGGTCCAACAACGTCGCCTTCGGTGGTTTGGCAATGTTCTGCGCTGACCAGACGATGATCTGGTCAAATCAGTTCTAAATCCCTCGCCATTTCCATCTTGGCGATGTCGCAGGGGTGGACAGCGGAAAACATGGCTTGATACAGTCGAGGCTGATATGGAGTGCCTGGGCTGAGGCTACAAACCGTCTACGGACTCCGTCTGTGGAACAAGAATTGGATAGCCCTGTCGCAACATCTTGCATCAGATCGCCGCGCCTGGGCAGCGATGATTCGAGATGTTCATGAAGCTGGCTCAACCTCCCGTAGGAGATAGCCGAAGTAAATTAAGTAAGTAAGATGTGCTTTTAAAGCCTTCCTTACATTTTCCCCCTGGAGTCTGTTTAAACTGAACAAATTACAGCTTCCAATGCAAGCCATCCTCCTCACCGAGACACCCCTCCCCATCCAGTTATATATCTAGTCAACTTCCGACAGTAAACTGATGAACAAGGCACAAAGTTTTGGGACGAAGGCATATCGAAGGCATAACAATCCAAGGAGAAAAACACACTTTTTTGTCTTCTTAAAAACAAAACACGCCATATGTTGATACAAAATCATTATATATTGATTGGATACACAGTTTGAACTAATGGTCGCGCGCACTGGATTAATCATCAAAAACAGAAAACAAGAGAGAAAAGAAACCCCCCAGTATGTGTGGAAAAAAAACAGAAAAAAAAGATGCATCATCATCGTCATCATTGATTGGTTAATTCCTTGATTGTCTTTAATCATATATATATATATATATATATATATATATATATATATATATATATATATATATATATATATGGAGAGATTACTATTAACAGTAGTATGTAGTTGGCAGGGGACTGGCAAAGCGGCCAGTGTAAAAATAGACACGTGAACAAACAAACAAACATACAAACAAAAATTAAGCCATATGACAGAGAAGCGAATTGACTGACTACGAAAAAAAAACAAAGCCCCTCCCCCTAAAAAAGAGAAACAAATAACATAGAAGTACGGAAGAACCAAATAAGAAGCTCTCGCTTTCTCTCTCTCCTCCTATCTGTCAAAGAGATTTACACACGCTCCCACGCACGCACGAACCCATAGTGATGAAATCTCACCGTCTTCTATCACTTCATGATGAGACGGACAAATGAACCGAACGAAGGAAGAGTATATGTATACACACATATATATGTATGATTAGACACTTGAATGTGAATTCTCTTCATAATTTGATCATTAAAGCTTTCATGGCATGGGACTTCGAAAACTTAGTTTCCAGGGGGGTGGTGAGCATGAGGAGGGGAAGAGAGAAACAAAGCATGAAAACAAAGAGAGTGATTATAATAATAATAAAGGCAGAACGTGAATTAATCAATCTGCAGTTCAAATTATCATTATTAAATATTCCATGAGCAGAAACAAAAAACAAACGAAAAAAAGTGTTAAACCAAGAAAATGATAATCATTGCACTAATCTTCAGTTTGTCAACAAAAAAGAGACGGAAGCAAAGAGCGGTGGCAGTGGCGGTGGCAGCAGGGGGCTGAGAAGTGAGGACTGGGGAAGGGGGGCAACAAAAAGACACTACAATTATTATTATTACTGCTCTTTAAGATGCGAGAGAGAAGCTGAAAGAGAGGGAGGGAGCGCGCGGGAGAGAGCCATCGGAAACACATAGTATCTAACTAATCATTGCCTAATGTTAAAGCAGTTGGAGTTGGGAGATTAACCAAAAATAACCAAACAAACGAACAAAAAAGAAAGAAGAAACCGTTCATTACTAGTTATTATTTGTGTTTAATGAGTCCTTAGAAGTAGAAAAATTGATATTACATAATACTACCGAGTGAGAGAGACTATGCAGAGAAGAGAACAACAACAATGATACAGCAACAAAAGGGAGGGGGGCCAAAACAATAGGTCCATTTTTTTGTTGGAACCTTTACTTGCCTTCCTTACTCACACACACTCGATGGTGAACGCCGTCAATCAGGACTTCCGAGGATATCTATGTATGTATGCATATGTGTAGCATATACAGGCTTCAATAAACATAGCATTAATGACCTACCACCTACTGGAGGAGTGCGCACACGCACGCACACAACATAGACACGTGTTTGTTTTTTTATTCGTAAAAGGCAAGTGTTATGCGAAAAAGATAAAGACAAAATGGACAGTGTGTGTGTGTGTGTAATAATACTTTGAGAATTATACAGAAAAACTGCACACACACACACACACACACACGGAAGTGAGAACAAATAATATACCACTAGATGAGATTGCGTAAGCAGTGTATTACAGATGCACACATATGTGGGAAGAAAAGATGAATTGTGTGATTTTGTTTAGATTGTTTTTTCAGCATTTTTATTTTACAATCAATCAGGAAACGTACATTATATCATCTTAGATCGACTAGACAATAATACGTACGCACAGAATGAATGACTGATTGAATGCCAAAATTTGAAAGATGTGATTGATGTGGGCCAGCAAGCGGGAGTGAGTGACTGAGTAAGCGAACTAGCCGCTTAAGAATCAACCACCTCGCCGCCGCCGCCGCCGACACAGACGGTGCTACAACACACTATATGCTAACAGATGCATGTCTGTATGTATGTATCTATGAATAGATGCATAATTATCTCGCACAAATGCAAAACTGAAGTGCAAAATAAAATAAAAAATTAAAAAACCCAAGAGAAATCGACGGAAGAAAACAGTAGTATGTGTGTATACCGTACCTTCAACGGAGGAAGAAGAAGAAGCAGGAGTGTACACACACAGACAAAAAAAGATAATTAGGCAAGCAGGAGAGAAGAAATCTTTCGAAATGAAACAAACGAAAAAGTCTAGAGAAGCAATACTGTTGTAAAAGAGGCTTATACAAAAGCTAGACATGACATGATTGGAACATATTCGAAACCTAGGCGACAACGATGATAACGACGACAACAACACAATGCAAACAAACAGGGACTAGAGCTAATGTGCATCAATACAGATAGAGAGAGAGAGAGAAAAGAGGAGTGAACTAAAACACAAAAGAAAAGTTTAAAGACGATCACGAAATTGAAGTGTACAGTTAGTGAATATTGACTAGGAGATTACTGTCCACACACAAAAAAGAATGAAATGAAACTGTGTACACACCCTCAAAGATGCGCATATTTATATTATATGTACATATAATCAAAATATGTATACTGAAATACATACCCTCATACATATACAGATCTCAAAAATAATGATCATAAGGGGATTGTCAGATCATTGGCGAAGGAGAAAACATGTCAAAGCGACAGAGCAAGAAGTATGTGTAGTACTCACGACTAAGAGAGAGAGAGAGAGAGTTCATTGCATCATAAATGATGCACAACATTTAAAGCTGAGATTAAGACAAAAACCGCATACATACATACATTGTCAACATACCAAAAAAACACAAAGAATTATAGCGGATGAATAAATGAAAATTAATAATCACATGATAATTGCCATATATATATATATATATATATATATATATATATATATATATATATATATATACTAGGGGCAACAACAATAGTGCCACCAACCAGACTGAAAAGACTTGTCACTCACTCACACACTCTCTACTACCGGTAGTGGTACTATTACACACACACCTCCTTGCTACACAACTACTGATGGAAACAATCCAAACATCACTAAATTACTCAGATGATGTACACATATATTCAATGTGTGAATAATCAAAAGAAATATTTGCGAAGGAAAACCATCAACAAAGAGCGAACATATTAAACAAACCTATAGGTGTATATATAGAACTTCATATTATTATATGTATATGTATGTATGTTTGCGTATATATAATTTTAGCATCACTTTACTGCGAGAGAGAGAGAGAGTACTTGGCATATTTGGCATACTGGCAATCGTTGTTGTTACTGTGTAGGCTGGCTGGCTGGCTTGGTAGGCAGACATGGGCGAGGGGGCTGGAGTCGAAAGGAAACCCAATGGAAAACAATAATAATAGTAATAATACTAGTTAAAGTGTAGAGAAGCGCGATAAGCAATCAAAACGTGAGTGTACGAGGGTATTAGTGTGTGTGTGTGTTCGTGCGTGCGTGGGTGTGTTGTTGTGTAGAGCACACATATATTGAATGATGTCGAGAGAGACAAAGAAAGTGCAAGAAAGGCAAACTGGCGGCGGCGCACTGCTGTTGTGTATAAGTATAATATTTGAAAACATTGATGATATACTTTTTGTCTCTATAGAAAAACAACCAAAAAGAATTATTATTTCAAGGAAGAATTCGTTGCACAAACACACACACACACACGCAGACTCAAGTGGCTAGCAGAGACACATACAGAGAGAGAGACAGGGAGAGCGAGAGATTATTTTGAAAAGACTGTTGTCGTTGTTTGCTGGATCTTGAAGACCAAGTGGATTTCAGACGTTGAAAATGCGCTGTAATATAAAAACAAACAAAAATACATTTAAAAGAATGGAAATATGATGCACAAAAAATAAAGCAGAATTTACAAGGAAAACCTAATTTCAAGTTTCTCACGGTTTGATACCACCGGCTAGGGAGCCATTGCGAAACCAGGGTGGAGTGTATTGGACAGTAAGACGTCTCGGTCAACAATGTGAGTACACGTACCATGTCTGGGACTTTCGAGTTACGAGGCGAAGCTCGTCGACCGTTTGGCCGCTTACATGAGCTGGAATTCAATGACTCATGAAATTTGAATGGTCAACGAATTTGGCCTCGTGCAAGCTGGAGATCATGAGCTTGATCTATGTTGAGATAGTGAGTGTTTACGGCTGGAGAGTCCCAAAGCACAGCACAAAACATGTCCAGTAACCCCTGGTTTCCAATAGTTTCCTTACTGATATCAACCAACAATTAGACTTGTGATAAACTGAACCCCAACAAAAGGCCAACACCCTAAATGTTAAGTTTAATTTTCATAGGCACATAGTTCATAGATTTGATGCGTCAGGAAAAGCATTTCCAACACCCTTTGGCAGACTTTTATCAACAGCTGGCATCGCTGACAGGATTAACACCACGGAACTCAACTCTAACTAACAATGAACCAACGAAGAATGTATTGCTCAACAAATAGGCAGAAAAAAAGGGAAATCGATCTGACACACGCTGACGAGACCTTCACATGACACCACATGCTAGATCATTACCCGAGTGGAATCTGAATGAGAAACGATGGGTTGGGCGTAGTAAGTCTGAGGTAGATATGGAGGCGGTCATGTAAACAGATAAAAAAGCTCATGGGCAATTGTGGAGCCAGTGATGATAAAGGATTGCAAGGAGCAGGATGAAAGGGAGACACTCTTTCGAAGCCGTATGTTCCACTCGGGGCCTAAAGAAATAAAATGATAATAATACACACACACACACGACGTGGTTCCCTCGAAAAATTTCAATAAAGCAAGAAAAACCTCATTTGCATCATAAATGAAGACAAGATAATTTCATGGGGAAATAATGAGAAATTAATAGATTTACGGGAGTATACAACGAGATTACAGCTTTGAGCCATTTCATCACCGACAGCCTTCAGCCATTATTGATTGATTCCTAGCATTCCGAGGATTCTAGTCAGCCCAAGGTAGTCAGTTAGTGTTTACACACACCCCAGATCCCGCTCCATGGCTCAATAAACCAACAGTCAAAGACTTCATACAACACACTGTGATGCCATTTTCTCCAACCTAACCTTATGCCGTCGTCGCTAGTCAATGTGCACAATCATCGTGATGCTAGTTACCACCGCAAAACAAACAAGGTGAGCAAATAAAGTAAAAGGATGTGAACACAAAACAATATATACACCAATATATAGTCACATACCATCATAAAAATTGATTGATTGATGCATACACACACATATAACACGTATAACCTTTAAATTTTAAGCATTAGACAAGATTATATTCTTTCAAATTTAACTGAAGTATTGTATCCTTTACAGCAGCAAATACAAATCGGATATTCTCTGTATCTGTAGCACATGTGAAATGTGAGTAGATTATCTTTTCAGGATCTGGATTCAATTCAACAAACATTTTTAAAATGAAATCACGTGCAGCTTCAGCATCACGTTGAGGACCTAGACACAGAAAATCAATTAATAACACAGAGAATTACAAACACACACACACGCACGTACGACGTTACAATTAAGTTGAACAAATGGAGAGGAAAAAAGTTTACTCGTGTCTGAGTTAAACCTTATTGAGTTATAATATGAAAACATCTTATAATGTAGACCACCAATGAGGCGAGAATACACAATGTTATTTTGAAGATCTGTAGTTCAGGTGTTGTTGTGTTCTCGATCAATATCTACCTGCTAACCTCACATGGTGGTTGGGTGTGCAACCCAACCAGGGAAGCGAATGTTTTAGACGAAACTAACATGTCATAAGTCGTTTGGATAGCGGCTCTCTCCATAGTGTAAGTCGCTTACACTACGTTGGGAGTCTGAGGGTGAATTAGTACGGTTGACAAGTAGAAATGTGACATCTACAAGGTGTTTCCTTCGGATAACCACAGAAAACCCACTGTACTGCTTCTCTTCTTCTCTGTAGAAGTGGGTTACAAAATGTTAACCCCGAAAATAGTGCATCTAAACACAGCTTGCATCAGTCTGCAGTCAACGACCATGAACACTACTCAAAGAATTAAGTCAAAAACAGACCTGAAATGTGACCGGCCTCAAGCAGTCGTTCCCTAAGCCCTGGGGCTACGCGACACCCTGTTTCAGGTTATTCAAGAAATCTCCACCTCCTTTGGAGGCTCCGTCATCTTTCTAGTCAACATACTCAACGCTAACTTCAAAATGAAGCTCGTAGAAAACAACAGTGTTATCACGTATACTATTTAGCTATCGACAATGAGACCCGAAACCATCGTTTCAAACGATAATGTCTAACCCCATAATGCACTAGACCGCCGATAGCCAGCCGGCCAGTTACCCATACGCAACGAGTATCAGTTACAGTTAGGATAAAATGCGTGTCCTGGATTCCGCAACCAATAACTAATTAACGGATGTAAGCTATCATTTGAGAGGTTTTACCAGGAGGCAAAAAGATTTTCTCCTAAATGCAGAGCATTCAGAACATATATTATCAATCGAAAACCTAAACGAAATGCAGTATACATACATACTTCTTTCCTTCACGTTCCTAGTGGAACATAGAGCTTGAAGTGGGGGTTCGAAGTTTCGGTTGCAGTGGGGTTTATTTTTTAAGGGGTGGGTGTCAGCTGGCCTTATATTCAACCTTTCCTCTTTACTGATCTAACTAGTGAATTAGCAAAGTCTAGGAGTGAGTCGACGGGGGATAGAACCCTAAACCGCATGCATGGTTGGCGAACATTTTACCGCTGTATCACCGAGGCACAATGCAGTATATTTTTTTTGTTTTCCTTCACGTTCCCCAGTGGAACATAGGGCCTCAAGCTAGTAGCTTGAAGTTTCTGTAGCAGTGTTTATTTTACAGGATGGGGTTGCTAGCCCCATGCCCAACGTTTACTCTTTACCAGCATTATTTCTGGCTCAGCGAGGTAAAGGAGTGCGTCGGTCTGGGATCGAACCCCGGACCATATGCATGGCCGGCGAGCGCCCTAACCGATATATACGGCATGTAAATTGATCGATAATAAAAGCAGGTAACGATGTGTAAACTGAACACCACACTGTCGATCACGTCTAAATATGCTGGACTAGAACCTCACCACCCCACCTCCCAACCCTTTAGTTAGAAGCCCCACAATACACAAAAAATACAGAAAAAAATGAATTTATTCTACATAACACAGAAACACTCACCATCATATTCTGGGAAATAATCAACTAAATGAGAGTAAAGAACTTTCTCTTCCAACAGATCTTTCTTATTCAAAAACAATATAACAGATGATTCTTGAAACCATGGATAAGTAATGATTGTTCTGAAAAGAGCTTTACTTTCTTCCATACGATTCTGTAGGGAGAAAAAAAGACAAGCAAAATAATTAAATAGAGAGGAAATCACCACCACTGGGGTCAAAATAGTATAATAGTTGTAATGCATAAGTTTTTTTTACTTGCTCATTTGTATAACACCTAACTAAGTAGGAAGGAAGGGGGAGGAATTTCAAGTTCAACACCTGACAACTTCTACTTAATTCAGATAACAGCAGAACCATCTTAGAGGGGTACCAACTTTCAAGCAATCTGGTGTTAAAGCGTATTTACTTAGAGACAGATGAGGCTAATCAAAATGTGTTTGTGCAGTAGTTCGTTTTCTGTCCTAGTTTATCATAATAATAATCATAATCATAATAATAATCATAATAATAATCATAATAATAATATAATAATAATGGTAATAATAATCATAATAATAATGATAATAATAATAATCATAATCATAATCATAATAATCATAATAATAATATAATAATAATAATGATAATAATAATCATAATAATAATGATAATAATAATAATCATAATAATAACAATAATAATAATCATAATCATAATAATACTGATAATAATAATAATCATAGTAATAATAATGATCATAATAATAATCATAATAATAATGATAATAATAATGATCATAATAATAATAATAATAACAATAATAATAATCATAATAATAATAATAATAATCTACAGAATAGTCTTTTATTGAAACATAATTAAATGAAGTAAATTTTACTTTAATTTTGAATGAAGATTGTGCATTCATTTCCAAACGAAAATCATCTACTAATTCCTAAAAGTGATCAACAGAATGGGGTGGCACACACGTGTCAATGCGATTAGAAATACAAGTTAATATGCGAAGGAAAACAAATAACAAACACGAAAAAGAAGGTATGGGTTGGGGGTGAGATGGGTGGTACAGATAGGAAAATTAACGTAGGTTTTACAAATTTACCACAGTCTGCAATGATTTCTGATGGGATCCACTTTCACCTTAGCTTTCAAATCATCACTACTATTACTGTACAAACATTAAAAACAGTCACAACCAGATCATTGCTTGCTTCTATCGCACCAATGCCATATGCACAGTGTTTCATCATAGCAACCTTTGAAATTCTACCAGTGTTACGTTACAACCCACAGATATTTTAATTCAACACATAAGACAACAAATGGATTATAAACTCATCTTATTATACACATGAAGTTACTGAGAAGTAACGTTATAGTATAAAGAAGCCTTTAGATTCGGAATCAGAATCTTAGGTATACTACGAAAAGAAGACTAGATTATTCTTTTCAGATATTGATTTGACTGAACTCTTCAAAAAGGAGTGCATCAGTTCATGTCACTGCGCTATGCATATATACATAATACACAAAGGTAGAGAAAACAGTTCAAAGGGACGCAAGTATATGGAAGAAGGAATAATTATATAGTGAACAATGATGACTGAGAGACTACAATACAAAAAGTAAATGCATCTGCGTCATTCATCAGAACAGCTTGAAGTCATATCACCAACACAGTCTCTCTAACCATTGGTTTTCCACTACCTACGTGGCTGGTTCAGTCCAATTGCTAAAGACTTCATGAACTGATATCAGCTTTTCATTTGACCACTTCGCCCGCACCCCAGTTATGTCAGCTAACCGGATCCTTCGAGGAAGATGGAAAGTCGACATGTGTCTTGGCCATCTTAGTCCATATAGTTTAACAACCTGATCGATTGACTTACCCTTCTTACCGAACATACCCTACGCCTAACCTCGATATTATTCATCATACATTATACCACAAGCATTTGTGATCAAAGACAACCAGTCCTTTTGCGTATCTCCCATTTTCAACGATCACACTGTATAAAATATACATAGGATAAGAGCATAACAAATATGTAATCAACCAAGTTCTTTATAACTTTAATAGTTTAGTACACACATGTGGTGAGTGCTACTTAGAATCAGATAATAAGTAGTACATCAGTAAACGAAATCAGAAAAGTAACAATATGTCTTGGAGCAGTGGAAAAAGCAATCGAAGAAGAGAACTGTGAGAAGAACGTCACAAAAACACTGTGCAGGATCAACCAACAAGCAATCGAATGTGGTGATATTCAACCAATTTGCAAATAAGGACTTAAAGGATAAGGTATACCTACAATGCATTTTGCCCGAATAAGCATTGCTTTCGAGCCTCATAGATTTTTTCTTCTTCACACAACATATAACAGACTATCTAAAACAACTTGTTCGCAACACAGTGGAAGTGTGCCTTTTATATAAATGAGATTTGAGTGTATGTGAAACTCACTTCAACCCATCACGCACAAAATCACGCAGACACACACCCATACATATTCACATAAACTAATCTAATCTCTTTTTTCCCATGACGTTCGACACGATATAATTTGAATCGTGCAAAATGAAACTTATTTACAAATTATCTCAATGAGAGAGAGAGAGAGAAAAAAGGAGGTATTAATAAGATTTACACACACACACGCACTCACACATACACACCTTCACAATGTGAACATACACATCCCAAGACTGACAGACTGACTGACTTACCTCATTATCAGATTCCACTAAAACTTGATCATACTCTGACAAGGCGACTAGAAACATAATTGATGTAACACTTTCAAAACAGTGGATCCATTTTCTACGCTCAGAGCGTTGACCACCGACATCAACCATTCTAGTAACAAAAATAATACAATTTAATCAACGTTTGTATATTATGAAATATAATTAACATATACACAATCATACAGGAGGAAATAATAATTGCTTACTTTGACATTAAACAACAAAGTATTGCCATTATAAAAACACAGATAATCATCACGACCAAAGATAAACATTTACGCTGGTTGGCAGTTGAACCGACGACAGATAGCTTAGTTATCGGTGAGTCTTAATTACTTTTTTTGGAAAACTGCATCTCCATAGCTTTGAAGATGCACCGTAAACTAGGATAGGTACTCGAGTGGGACTCCAACGGGAAACAACGAGTTGGGCACCCGAGAGTGATGTGGAGGAGATCGTGTGAAGAGGACATGAGAGCTTACAGACGATCATCAAGCCAAATAAAGACGAGTGAAGAGATTAAGATGAAATGGAGATGTACTGATGAAGACATATGGTCCACCAGAAACTCAAGAGGACAATAACAATAATAATACCAGCGTTCGCTTGTGTCACACAGTAGTGTACACAATTAGATCCACTGCAATTCAAAAAGTAACATACGTCAGCGATCTACGCACCCTCTAATGACTACACAATTATTATAGTCAGTCAATTGATTTTCTAATTAAATCTATTGTATTCGCGATGTGAACCAAGAAAGTAGTGACAATTATGACGGGTAGTAACTATATCATTGACAGAACATTTACACAATCAAAATTATCGAGTGTTTCACAGAAAAAAACAATGACTGTGACTCATTTTTTCTGTTAAACCCGAATCACCATCCATTTACAAAGTATATCTTCTCATGACAACCTCATTACATGCGCATAAAAATAAACAAACTTAAGTGATCGCAGAATTTGTGATAGTCATCATTATATTTTGATTTGACACTAGTAACTAGTGTGATGTGTCTATTCCTCTCATTGGTGCAGATACGCCTTGCTGACGAGTGCCAACTAGCACGAAACCTACGTCCAAAGCTTCCTGCCGATTGCCTCCAACCATCTAATATCATCAAGTCATCATAATAGTTACTCATTAGATTTCTAGAAGCTCCCATAAACGATCTGATAAGGCTGAGGATGAGGTTGGCTTCGGTCTTCCCTTAGAAATGCTCTCATGTTACCAGGCGCTCACAGGACCTACCACCAGGTAAGTCTTTTTCGCTACCCTCCCGCGCCACGAGGGTGTTCCTCATAAAAGTGAAAGGGCGTATGAGAATGTCTGGCGCTTACAACCCGATTGGTAAGCACATTCAGGTCTACCTAGTTAAGGGAACTGGAAAACCCTGATGGTAGTCTATGTGGACTTCAGAATCCGAAAGGATCGAATGACGTATGAATCTGTTTTCGTCACAAGAAATCATGGCAACGTAGCTCCTGACGCTGCTCCACTGCCTTGTGGGTCAGAATTCAGGTCGAAGTCTCTGGATATGACTCCTCAAGACAACCACCTGCTACGGTCTAGGCTTTTGTACAGTACTTCAGCCCTCTTACAAGCTATGGCACATCTGGTAGTCCCTATAATGTACGATGTTTGAGTTTCAATAATACAATAATAGTGATTTCTGGGAAATGGTTTTTAAACCCAGCCACTTCAACAGTTGTATATAAAAGTAGCTTGTAGTCACAAAAACAAAAATATCGTGTTGAAAAAAAGCTTACCGGAATATAATCGAATCCAAATCAAATAAGTACTCTACAATACCTGTAGTAGGGACTCGAACTCTAAGGATATCCTGTAGAGTCGGTAAATAGTCTGGTTGGGAGATTCGATCAAGATTGTCCAGATAGCTGTGTACAAATAAAACAAGAAGTAAAAGAAAGGAGAAAAATAGATCAATATAAGAATGTAGACAAAGTGTAGACGATGGAGACAGAAGTGAAAACAGGGCATGAACTGTTTATTACATAATGCAGGTTAAGTTCTCTGACCTTGGTAAATATGGAGATTTAAAGAGCTATGAAATACAAGAATTCATATGCTGCTTTAAGCAAACTCTAATAATAAGTAATTTTAAAAATGCTGAATTCGATTTTATCGAATATGAATGCTTTAACGTCATTAAACAGCTGTGGTTTTGACATTTGCGTACAAGTCGTATTCTTGACTGTTGTTGATTTGCAATAAGCACGGCATATAATGTTGAGATTCCATTATGGGTAAATTTTGTTTTGATAAAGTTTCACAATGGTGTTATACAGTAATGTTTACTGATGACCACGTTTCGAGCACAATTTATTGCCACTCTTAATCATATCAACGTAATCATTTATAGAGTTCCATTGTTTTTTTTCACTTGATTTGATTGGTAGTAGTATTTCCCATATTTCGGGTATGAGTGATGAATCATTTCTATTGCATGTGTTGAGTGTAGACTCGATGATGTCATTTAGTTAGATGAATGATGAAACAACGGTTAGTTTTGATATCACTAGTCTTTATACTAACATACCAATCGATATGGCCTTAGAAGCAGTTAAAAAAGAAGTAACTGCATACCCTGAACTCACTTATAGTACGAAGCTACCCATTGAAGAAATTATTTTAGGAATTCAGTTATGCCTCACATCTAGTATCTTTAAATTCCAAGGTAAATATATATATAGACAAACTGAAGGTGTAGCAATGGGATGCATCACCAAAATTCCCTATCGTAGCAGATATATTTATGGATAGCTGGGAAAATAATGCTCTCCTACTCCAAAAATATGGTAGAGATATATGTGGATGACACTTTCACAGTGTTAATAACAGAACATATCTCTGCTTCTTGACACATAAACTCACAAGTAGAGGGAATAAAATTCACATTTGAAGTAGAAAATGAAGAAGGAAACTTAGCTATGTCGGATTGCAAAATAAAACGAATAGAAGAAGGTAAACTGCACACTAGTATGTACAGAAAACCAACGCATTCTAATAGATATTTAGACTTTAATTCATCTCATCCGTTAACTGTTAAGGCAGGCTTAGCTAAGTTTTTAACAAACCGAGCAGTAGCACTAAGTAGCACAAAAAGTGACCTAAATGATGAAATAAAACAGATATAAGAAGTTCTGGTATCAGATAACTTTCCTATAAGATCCTTTAGGAAGATCAGCAAAGACCAAAAGCAAAATAAAAATAGAGGTGAAACTAGTGATGATAACATAAATAAGAGAGAATATAAGTCATCCACTGTTATACCATATAAGGGGACATCTGAGACCCTACGTAGGATTCCGAATAAAGCAGGAATTAGATTGGCATTTAAACCTACAAACTCATTCAGAGACAAGCTGCGTAGGCTAAAGGACCCAGTTGACTCAATTAGACAGAATAATATAATTTACAAAATACCCTGCAATGACTGCTGGTGAGGTCAACTACATAGGTCAAACTAGTAGGTCAGGGGTAGTCAGATTGTTAGAATATAAGAATTTAGCTAAGGTAAGAATGGTTGACTCCGAGAAGATAAGTAACTTAGAAAAAAGCTCAGGAATTGCAATACATGCATTAACACACAACCACACAATAGCATGGTGGGAGAGGGTTAAAATTCTAAAAAATAATCTAGGTAGGTGGAGAGAGAGGTTGATTACCGAATCCTTGTTCATCGAGTCTACACCCAACACATGCAATAGGAATGAGTCATCACTCCTACCCGAAATACGGAAAATACTACTACCAATCAAATCAAGTGAAAAAACAATGGAACTATATAAATGAAGTTAGGAAGTCGTGTGATTACCTTGATATGATTAAGAGTGGCAATAAATTGTGCTCGAAACGTGGTCATCAGTGAAAATTACTGTATAGCACCACTGTGAGACTTTATCAAAACAAAATTCACCCATAATGGAATGACACTCTACCACAGTGCATAAGTTTTATTCTTATATCAATCATACAGTATTGACATGTATATGGTCAATCTGTCTTACTGGGTCGTCTATTGTGAAGCATACGTTTATTTCAAGGGTGTATCAGAGCCACTAAGCATCAGATAACTTTACAATGTGGCTGTAGTCGATGTAAAAAATATGCATATATGAGTCAATAGGGTAAGCAATTGCTGAACCGATTACATTCAGACCTAAAGACTGACTAACTGGTTTCAACATAGAAGTTTACACAGATGTGCAGCAGTTCAACTTGCCCCACTCCCTCCATATGGCACACAAAGCAAGAGAAGGGAGTAAACAAAGATTCAAAACAGAGATAGTAAACAGAAATATGAGGCGAAAAGAATAGTAATATGGAAGAACAATAGAGTTTTATTGGAATTTATAGGTCATAAGAAGTGAATGCACCTGCGCCACCCATTGACAACGATTTTGAGCCATATCACCGATAATTGTCTCCAGACTTCATTGGTTTTAACCATACCAATGACCCCGACCAGCCACACAGTCTACACCTCCTTACATAGCTGACTGGCTCAAACAAACTGTCATGGATTTCATTGGCTCTTTTCCAACCTGACCCATCCTGTCATCTAACACTGCTCATCGTCTAGGAAGGTGACGGCTAGACATGCGTCAAAGCATGTCTTAACCACCTCAATCGGTGTAACTTTACAACCGAGTCGATTTATTTCCCCTCCCACCTACCCACTTACCTAGCACTCAACTGATGCCTCACCTCAATATTACTCACTACATTACACCACCTAACACAAGATAGAACGCAGACACCTATGATCAAAGACAACTAGCCTGTCTTTTCATATATTTCACTTTCAATGGCCATGTCTCACTCACAGCCAAAAAGGAGGACAGAGCAGACTGCTGAGTAGTGCACACGTCCTTTGGTCGACAGCCAGTCAGATATCACGTCTACGTTAGAGATGGTGTAGGTTGGTTGGCATATACCAAACGAGCCTTCTGTATACAGACCTGAAGACTCGACTTTCTACTGCATATCAGATACTGATGAGAACATGACAAAGTGAGGATAAAAAATATGTTAGACACTGTCAAAAACAACAACAACAAAAAGAATCTACTCACTATTTAGCTGAATCTGTCAATTGGTATTCACGACGACGATCATAACACTCCTTTATTCCAGGATCATCCCATAATGATTTAATGGCTACAACATGCTGAGATTCCATAGTGGTGACAGTTTCATAATCGATCTCACGAATTGCTTCGGCATACGACTGAAATCATTTTGAACAAAAAGTTAACATTTGCTTGTATGAATAATTAGTACGCGTTAAATCAAAATAGATGAGGGGGAAAAACCAAATTGGCCTATCAATCATTACGTGACACAATAAAAGACGTCAAAATTTGAATGAAGGTGGGCGATGCACAACACAAACAGATATTAAGCTAATGTGCATGGACAGCTTTATTTTCCCTATTATTCACAACGAATGGTCTCTCTCTGCTTCTTTGTATGGATAAGACTGCACAATACTTCTAGCTGCTGCAACACAGACCGAGCCTTTTGCAGATGATAAAACCTTGAACATTACATATATACCAGTCAAGTTGGCTGGGATATGAATGAATCCGTAAATACTACCAACATAAAACATTTGAGATGTTAACAACAATTGAAAGTACTATCAGACAAATTTTATTTTACAGGGTAGATCTCATGTTTCCACTTATATCTGCTTTTGATTGGACACTAGTCACTAACTAGTGTATTGTATCTAGTCCTATCATTGGTGCAAAATGAATTCTAGTCACATTTGTATTGTGACCACCATGCCACTAGGTGACTCACCATCACGATGCACTGTGAATTGTTCATATTAGGTCGTTGGAGGCAAACTTGACTAACAGAATTCAAAGGTCTAGACACATTACACTAGTTACTGACTAGTGTCCAATCAAAAATAATAGCCAATACAGTCCTACAGAAGGTCAATTGAGAGTCTGAATAGTTCAGTGGTAACATCGCCTCTGACTACAGTACTGGCTGGTGACGCGGGTTCAAATCTCAGAAGCACGGACAGTTCTTTCAAGGTTGCAGATACGCCTTGCTGACTGAATGATGAGTGCCAACTAGCACGAAATCTAGGTCAGACGAGGCTTCCTGCCAATCGACAGTCTCTAACCATTTAATATCGAAAACTTAATTTATAAAGACACATCTCCATCTTACAAATGATTTCTATAGGTGAACTGAAGTTTTAAATAAAAGAGGTAACTAGATACACACTTGTATGACTCATAAATAGGGGGTTCAATAATTGGCCTTAGCTTTTTTAAAATGTAAAATGTCTTAATCAGATGGATTTGACATGGAAGAATTTTGCTTTAAATCACCAGTACAGCCTAATCAATAGTAATAAATAGATTTTTTATAGTGTATCATATAGCAAAAATATTGCATGATTTATTAGGCATTCTAACCTTGTTTGCTGGGTTTTCATACGGAATTTTCAGGCTTTCTACAGCACGAATCATTGTAAACATAGCCATGTAGATATTTTGATAGACAATTTTGATGAAAGTTCGTCTCTCGTCATCCGAATAACCAGCACCATGGATAATCCGCATTTGTTTAATGAAGGTACTTTTTCCAGACTCACCGGTACCTAATGAAAATAATTGTAGATGAAAGTTACGAAATTAGTTAAAGTGTTAACAAGCTATGAATGAGCCATTCTACTACCATATAAAAGTTAATACAAACTCATGTGTGATTACTAAAAAACATAATTTGTATTTATGACTTTATTATCTTGAGCATAATTCGATAATGAGATTTTTGTTAATAATTATCGTGATGTTATATTGTAAGACGTGATGGAAAAGACACAGCATTACGTTATTGGTTGAATGAAATTTAGGCTAATCTAGTAAACACAAAGTGCTTAGCGGAGGATTAATGTGGCGAGATTAAGCACGTATTAGTCAGTAATTGAAGTTAGTTACTTGTCGACACTCGCAGTGTATGGAATTTTAGTCTAATGATCTTTCAAAATTACCGTAACCAGTTGTGGCTTACAGTCCCGCGTACGGAGCTGTAAAAATTGAGTTGCATCTTTAGACATGTGTAGTCGAATAGGAGACCAACGAAAACACTCGTACGATGGTCACTATAGATAATCTCAAAAATTCACACAGGTCGTATTACAGACTGGGGTACTAACTGAGTAAAATCTAGTAAAATTTTATTTGGCCATTTAGGCCTCCCTCACAATAGAAAATATCAAAACTTACCTGCTTAATGTGGCCATAAACCCCTTAGAACGATACACACTCAAAATCCTATCAGTTCAACTTTCTATTCAGAGAAGCAGCAGAGCACATATGCTTTTTGGATGAAAGCTGGATATCATGTAAGTGACAGAGGGCAAATTGACAAATGCTAAAGAAGTCTTACACAACCATGCCGAGATCTTGTCAGTAATCAGTAAAATAGAGTTGATGAAACTGATCAAAATTAGTTTTGAATTACCAGTCAATATTTAGGAGCTGAAAAAGCATCGTTAAACTATTGTTAAAAGCACCCACAGGACCGTTCCTTATCATTGTGTACCTTCGGTCACATTATTAAGTCGCTAATGCTTATCAACCAAGATTGGCCAAAGAAGTTCTTTAAGACGGTGACCCACAACCATATTTACAACGGCGCGTTTAACAGTGAGAACTCAATTAGCTGATATCGACCCATGAGTTAGAGTGATAATAGTCAGCTTCCCAGGTTGGAATGGACGGAGCGGAGCTCGAATCTGAGGCGGCTTAGTTGTAGGTATGGGAATTAAGCAAACGAACCACGTTTTTAAGCAGGCGCCTGACGTATACATCTCACGGGATGCCTTAAAAAGGATCACGGAAGTTTCATTGCGTAACCTATAGGAAGATGTAATTAGAGACGACCCAACACATTGGAAAAAGGCCTTCAGCTTGGCAGAGCCTAAGATATTTCAAGTTAGGGAATAAAACTTCTAGTGTTTGTACATACACGATAAATACCATGTCTACATGCAATTAAATTGGACATCTGACTGATCTTTCCTCGTAATTTTTGACTACTTCGACGAAGCCTTAGTAAGACGATGCTGAACGAGATTTGATGCCATAAGGTGATGGTGCACAAGGATGTACAGATAATTTAGAAAACCTGTGTATCTGGTCGCATAAGGCTGTGACAAGTTAATTGAGATAGTAATGAAACCTAAATTGTGGCTGCAGATACGAACCAACAGTAGTACATGAATAAAGACAGGCCTGCATACTGATTACAACGGTAAATAATTAAGACTTGTTCAACAGATGGTACTGTGAGTTTTCTTCAGTTGGTTAACAACCTCAAGACAGCATCGTTGAAATACATGCACACTATCGTTTAGTGACACTAACAGGTCTTTGAAAGTTTTGTTTGAAGGAAACAAATGAAAAGCCTGTCGAACCACTGACACTTCACGCGTAAAAACAAACCGGATAATGGCCAGGCTAAAAAGCGACCGACCACTGAAATGACTGCATGACATCCAACAAAATACACACGGACTTTCATCTAGACATGGAAATAGTAAAATAGGAGAAAGATTTCCAGAGGCTTGATGCTCACCTCGGTCACTAATGGATGGAAGACACCACTAAACACCCTCGAGCTACGGCAAAATACGCAGTCTCACGATACAACACACTTCGCCTAGTCCTTATTGCTGGTCATTTTTCAGATAAATAAGCACGCATTATTTAGGGGAACGTCTGACAGGCGGAAATACATGCTTAACATGTGTGTAAGTTTATCAAATTACTTCGACAGAAAACTACTGCGAAATAATGTTACGGCTAGTAATTTCAAAACTACTCCACATTATGCAATCAGTCCTGTGGATATATTGGGCTTAAAGCACCTTGACATTTGTGAGACCAGTGTTTGGAAGTCACTATTTGGATCAGGAGAAAAATTAAAGTGCTAGGCAAAACTATAGATTGGACTATTAATGCTAGAACTCTTAGTGTGGAGTGAAAGAGTTTGTGATCAAATGACCGCTTTAACTGATAGCACAGCACAGTTCCTCAGGTGAATCACTACAACAAGGCTAAGCGAGAACTATACGCCTATTGTCACTTTGCGACCTTGTATTCAGAACAGTGACTCCATTACCAAGCAAAGGTTGTGGATGAGCGCACTATTATTTCTTGAGGCTACGTAGGTACTCACCACTACCACATTCTTGGATTATACGAGTATCGATTCTGGCAGTTATAACTGACTCTATCAGTTTGCTTATGCGAACCTTTCAGGACACAAGACGACTGATTAGAATTCAGGACTGCATTTGCAGACACAACTGACAATGTGAGCTGAGCACGAAAAGTTAGATACATAGGTTCTCACTTAACATATAGCAATACGCATTAGTTTTACAAATGAATAAGACATTCAAGAGAACAATATCTTCAAGACTACTCCTTTCACGTGAAAACATTCTGTATACAAATGAATAAAAGAAAACTACACGTTGAAAAACTAAAATAAGACTGCTGTTACTATGTACACTGAACCCTCGCAGAGAGAATTATCAAAGTCGCGTACAACTTTGAAGCATATTTCCCTACTCCATACTTTGAAAAGCGACCTACCTAGGAGGAGAAGTTTAAGTTCTCGACGTGCATCCTTTTTGTCACGTTTCAACTGCTTCTCAATCTCCTTATTAATGCGGTTTTGCTCTTTATATTCTTCACTCCTGCAACAGAACATTGAGATTTTATGGAAGGTATGTGTTGCGTTGGGATAACGTTTTCCAGCAGTAGCTTTTGAAGTAAAAACTTAGGCACTGCAAATTTGATTTAAAGCCCAATAAACTCATTATAATCCACAACTCTTCACTAGCGCCATCTTCGTGGTCGTAAAAGCCACCAGATCTCACTAAGTAAAACAACATTGGATCTTCAATCCTCAAGGTAGATGTTGTGAAAAAAATTCTAAAATAGGTTGACAATGTTTCGCATATGGCCAGTGAATGGTCTAAGGGAGTTTAATAATATTATTTTCATTCTGCATGTGTTCTTGCTAGAAAAAATCTGCTGCTAACTAGTCATTTGAAATACAGGCCTGACGTTCGGAAATATTTCACCTAGTTAGGAAATGTCACTAAAGACTGGCAATAATCCTTAAGCATAGACGAAAAAATTCACCTCATCTAAGTTTGTTTTCAATATCATGGTGAAGGAGCAGTGGTGAATTAGTGCCAGATCGCTGTATATGAATGTGATTTCTTGCACATCCACTAGAAAACCTATAAAAAGTTCCCTAAATCTGGGTTAAACAGAATGTGATTGAAATCTGAACCCTCATATAGGATGGTGACAGACAGAAGCCCTCTTGCAAATAAGACTGATGGAAAGAATAATTCGGATACAGAGAATCGTATTCCGAATGTATCAGGCGTTCCTCATGTGCCATGAGTATATATGCTGGAAAACTGCTGATTTTTGTCTTTTGTGCCAGGAGGCATATATCATCGTAGTCGACTCTTATGTAAAGTCTATGCAAGAGGCTGCAGACACAGGCATTTCAACTCCGGAAGATTTTTTGGCGATTGCGATGTATCAAGGTGTCATGTGCGGATCTTTTCAATCCATTCGCCACTACACGAAACTTTGTCGAAAAACTAAGAACCAGGCTTAAATATATTCGGATAATATCAACTTATCTAGTCACACTTACATGAGCTTGGGGCGTGACTACATATATTTTTAGTGGTAACTCCGACAACACTAGACTTTAGAAACAAAGAGCAGCCAGAAAAATTAATTTCACACCGGAAACATACCACAATGCTTCTGTAGTAGTGTAGGGTCTCTACAACAATATACTATGGCCATTCAGACCTAGTTAACGATTCGGGATTCGAGGAAGTCGCGACGAGTAACCGAGTAGGAACTGCAACTTCCTTATGATTTTAAGGCTCTCTATATATTCTGGATGATGAATAGCCTTCCGTGAGTTTGACTGGGTTTCCCATTTCAACTGCCCACTGCCATCCTTTTGAAAATAAAGGTTAAGAAATCACAGTTCGTCTTCTGCAACAATAATAAAAATAGTGATATATTCTCATTTTTTGTACATCAGGGACGCCAGTTTATGAGCTGTTGGTCGATCACTTGGGTAATTATTTCGATAGAAAACTTGGTCTATAAGTTAGCGAGTTCATTTCAAACTACATTTTGCTTTCCCTTCTGTTACAGTTGACTATGATCTATGTATTTCTGTTGTGTGCTTGTTTTCGGATTTTTTTTCACTTGTGTCTACTTTTAATTTCAATCTCCTTGTTCACTACAGTGTGTCAGTCGGTGGGCGTGGAAACCAAATTTATGGACTCCGTCTGCAGAGGTAATTTCCTTAGTGACCAAATTTCCCGAATTCACTCGGCCAGAACACTGCTTCTACTTGTATATCATGAAGTTTGTAACATCAGGTGCCGACACCTATGTTCTGCTTTGCCCTATGAGATTAGCAAGGAGGCGTGGGAGCTTCAAACTCTAACCAGGCAACCACAAACAGTGGTTTGGCGTGAAGTGATAAAACGCCGTTGCGTCAGAAAGCCAAGTTAGAAGTGATTGCTTCCGCGAGTAACATGGGAGATAGATCCTCATCGCAGTTCTCACTCCACGTGCGACAGATTGTAGGCGACATTAAGGTGGTAGAAGCTGCACTGGAGCAAGGTTTCATGCAAGTCCTTCCATAGTATCCGCAGAAGGCACTGGACACTTCAGACTCCCACTCCTCTCTTGAAAATCACGAAGCACCGCCAACCTAATATTGGATAAGGACCTAATAATCTCGGAACTTCTGGCTGACATTTGGTCGCTAACGTAACAACCGGTACAAATACAGCTAACACAGAGCAGACGAGACAGGTCTCCCAGCAGAGCACGGGTCCGGTCAAAAACTTGTCCCTCACCAGCTGGATCAACAGGCCAATATGTTGGCATTGACGGACGCTTGGAGCACAATCAACAAAGTGCACGCACTCATGCGCCTTGCATAAACTACCTCACAAGCAAGAGGGAGATAATCAGTCCTTCCTCACTTGGTGACTGATGAGAAGGTATAGCCGGATAGTCGCCCAATCTACATCAAGGATAAAATCTCCGGCGCATACTACTTGGTTGATCCAGAGGCTCTAATCAGTACCAAACCCAAAACAAAGGCCGAGTTGGGATGACTAAAGTCCCCCGCCACGCTACAGGCTGTCAGTTAAACCGAAATTGCAACGTTCAGGGGGATACACTATCGCTTGCCTTGGGGTTTCAGCGACAGCTGCCTTGGGTTTTCACTGTTGCTGATTAAGACCTAATAATACTGAGCATCGACTTCTTGGGAAGATATGACTTATTAGTGGATACTTGAAAGAGACGTTTAACAACGCAAGGAACCTCCTGGTTTATGATTAACAAAGCGAGCAAACCCTGTTCATTGAATCTAGCCTAATCTCCACCAGTAACAACCCAAAGACTCCAGAAAACTCTGGCGGAATTCCCAACTCTGATGGCAACCAACTTCAAAGACTGATCTGAAAACTACTTAGACCATAAAGACACATGGCCGCTAATGCGAAGAAATGGGCTCCAGACGAGCTAAAATTAGAGGAACCTGAATTTGACTACATCCTTCGGTCGGGATTATTCTGCCTTCGATTAGTCAGGGGCTTCGCCGTTACACATGGTGCCTGAGAAAAACCAGACTGATTGGCACCCTTGATTACAGAGCCCTTACGAAGTGAACAAACCTGGAGAGATATCCGTTACCCTAGGTTCAAAACTTCACTAATAGTCTTCGAGATGCCACAATATTCACTAAACCTGATTTAGTCGGCGCCTATCGCAATGTCTCGGTGACTGAATACGGTATGCCTAGAACAGCCACTGCCACCCCATTCGGATTGTATGAGTTTCTGCAGATACCGCTTGGTATCCAGTATGCCGCACAAACTTACTAGATATGTCTGGATGACTTGTTGCGTGAACTACGGTTCTTCAAATAGTACATTAATAACTTATTAACAGACAGCTCGGATATAAACACGCGTGAAGACATCTAGGAAACCAGTTAGTTACGCTGTTTGAACGAGTTCGTGCTCACCTCGGGCTAGCTTTAGCTAGAAACAATGCACACTAACGTAGTTATCTGTCCCGCCAGACATTCACTTTAGCCCCACTACCTGTCTACCCGTTGGATTAGAAGACCTGACTTTTGACTAGGCTGTTCTCAGAACGTTTCCAACCAATAAAGGAGGGATATACTACATGTAACCCTTCAAGGACGTGTTTGCCGACCATTATATGTAGAAAGTACGGATGTCAATGTGGTTGAAGAATGAACGATCAATTCATGGTTGTTTACTCAAAACCAACTCCATATTTTTCGCGGGAGCCATCAATACTGCAGTCATCGTCTCATCCTTCGTTGTTCGTTGGAGGACAGAGAAAAACTATCAGAGGTATTATTGTGATTAATTGTTATGACATTTATTCTCAGACTTTGTGTACAATAACCTAATGATTAGTTCTGTATTGGTGCAAGAATAAACGGTACTTGAGTCACCAATTTGTGTTCTGGTATTTTTACCTTGGTTGTTACGCATAGTTCCTGAAATTCTTCCAAGGACAGTGTAAAGTTCAGTGTAGTTAGACCTGGACATTAACAACGGAGATACACCATCACACCAAAACTTAGCTATCCAGTTCCCGTCCCATAAGATCCCACTTGTCCACAAACTGACGTTGCCAGCACAGATAAATAAATCGACTGTTGAAATCGGAAAAGCTGAGGGTCAACTGAACGGACTGACTCCTTTGATTCCCTACAGACCATGTTTCGGCGGTATTACGTAAACTAGAAGATAACTGTATAAGGGTAATGTGCGTTTTGAGGGAGGAAGCATTGGGGTTCCTGAGACATGTCATTGACAGTTGCACCAATGCTTAAGGGAATGGATGCCATCAATCAGCGCCCCCTACCCGTTTCGTTTAAGCAACTCGGAAAGTTTATGGTCTCATTGACTTCTTTAGACGTATTATTTCTGGTTGCGCATAATATATTCAGCCTCTGACCGATGCACTAAGGGGAGAGCAAAATACCTTCACTTGTAAAAAGAGGCATCCGGTGCCGATACTCAGCTAAAAGGAGGGAGGGTGGCGTTAGCTGATCAGTAGATATGGTGGTGGTCACTAAGGTGAATCGCCCCATTCTGCAGGAACAGCAATACACAAATTAAAGGCTCGAGATATTTCTGATTTTTATGAGGGCTTAGATCTTTATCTTGAAAAAGATAATAATGAACGCCTTGACAGATCATGCTTCTACCTCTAAATATATACTATTCGCCCAGCTTATTGTTGAGATGCGACCATGTGGGATGTGCACAGTTTTATGGGGCATCTTATAAACTAACTTGCTGTCCATTGCCGGATCTTTAAATACCACTTCACAATGTCTTATCGCATTCATTTTCCAATAACGTCTTTACTTGATCCTCATTATATCCCAATAAACCTAACATTTTACAGCTCTTTATGACTTATTATATTCCTACTCTCTGAAGGGTACGGTTGTACATTAAATGCACAAAAAGGTATAAAACAAAAACAACTGGCACAACTGAGGATAAATGTATTAAAACCAAAAGTGGACATCATGATAGTACGAGATATACGTGTATTATTATTATTGTATCCTTTAGTTCCTAGAGGAACATAGGGCTTCAGCTGCGCACCTCCATTGACTTCGGTTTTCTGACAACTTTTTCAACCTGCTCCAGGTCTGTCCACATGCTTTCAGCTCCTCCTCGCATGACCTCCTCCAAGTCACCCTTGGACGACCAACTCGCCGCCTCCCTTTCGGGTTCCACTCGAGGGCTTGTCTAGTGATGTCACTT